TCTCTCTCTCTCTCTCTCTCTCTCTCTCTCTCTCTCTCTCCTCTCTCCTCTCTCTCTCTCTCTCCTCCCTCCCCCTGGCCCCAGTTTGTAATCTGACACAGTGTACTGCAGAGGCTCTGTCTCTGTCTCTCTCCCTCTCTGGGAGCCCGGGAGGCTGGGCACCGAGAACATCCAAGGTAGGCTGCGATTTGAGATTTAATTTTTTTTTTTCCTCCTAAAAATAGCTCCTCTTCCATTCACCTTTCTTCTTAGAGCCGCAGTGGCCCTGGTGACAGGGGCTTAGCAGGGAACTCTTTGCCCCGGTGAAGTTTATTTTCCAGCACTGGGAGGATGCCCTTCGGCCTTGGGTGGGCAGTGGTGGCTGCCGAGGACAAGAGGCTGCCGCGGGTGACGCTTGGTGAGGGATGCTACTGTGGCTCCTGTCTTCGTGTGGCTTGCCACCAAGGGATCCTTGTCAGAGTGAAGGGAAGGGCTTCTCTCATCCGTACTGTGTCAGCGGAGATGGCGATGACGGTGGCGCTGTGGCTCTCCCGGTCTTCGTGGGTCCCCAGCCTTTCAGACAGAAAAGCCCCTCTGGGCAAAGTTTGACACCGCGCTGTTGGGGCAGAGCCTTTCCTGAGGGCAGCAACTCGGTCTTCAGGGTTTCAGACGGGGCGCCTGGGGCCTGGGGCCGCCTTCCTGGGGGACGGCGCAGGGGGGGAGGGAGCAGGCTCGGAGCATCCCCGTCGCTCCGCCATCCACTGCCCACGCGGACTGAAATGTGCAATGTGAATTTGTCAAACGGTGTCCCGGAGCCAGTGGTGGCTGCAAGGGTTTGTTTGTGGAGACAGATGTTCTCGGCACAGGGCGTGTGTGTGTGTGTGTGTGTGTGTGTGTGTGTGTGTGTGTGTGTGTGTGTGTGTACAGACTTTCCCCTCCACCTGGAAAGGCAGGTTTACAGGATGACCTGCCAGGGCGCTGGTGTGGACAGAGCCCGAGGGAGGCGATGGTTGGCTCGGACCTCTGGGGGAGCAGTTTGGTTCTGTCCCCAGGGAGAGCATACTGGCTGTCCCTTGAGCTGTCTGGGTGATCAGATCAGGAAGAGAGAGGGGAGATGAAGAGAAGAGAGCGACTGGGAAGGAAGGGAAGAAACCAGAGGGAGGAAGAAAGGGAGAGAGGGACAGAGGAAAGGAAGAGGGGAGGAAGATTGAAAGAGGGAAGGACTAGAAAAGGAAGGAAAGTGTGGAGGAAGGAAGGAAGGAGAGAGGGAGCAAGGGAGGGAGGGAGGCAGAGAAGAAGGAAGGATGGAAGGAAGGAAGAAAGGAAGGAATGAAGAAAGGAGGAAGGAAGGAAGGAAGGAAAGCAGGAAGGAAGGAGCACGTCCCCAGCCTGGGTGGAGGGAGGCACGTCCACTGTGGGTTGTGGGGACTGAACTTGGGGCTCACTAGACCCCTCTGCAAAGTGTCTCTGTGTTATAGATCCTCGGGGTGTTGGGGGCTGGGGGCTGGGGGAGAGAAGAGGCAGAAGGTCTTGCTTCAGGACAGACCCTTCTGAAGGACCCTGATGGAGATGTGGGTGGGAGACAACTCATGTCAGGGAGAGGGGAATGTCACAGATGGAGCTGCCTACTAGGAAGAGGGAGGTGGTTCTGGATGTGGGAGAGTGTGGAGGAGGAGGCGGTACCCAGGGCCCTGGGCCTCTGTGGCAGGTGGTGGAACAATTTCTTCTCTCTCTGTCCAGTTCTGAGCTAGGAGCCGAGAGCTGGGGGCATCTCACATGAGCCCGGGGTGTGGAATGTGACCAGCATGGGACCTCGGAAAACTGCCCCATCCCCCATGTCTCCCAGACTTACTAGAGTCCTCCCAACTCCAAACTGGCTCCTTTCTCATCTCGACAGCTGCTGGCCCCCAACATTTGTGGTTCTGTCCTATGAGTTCTGCGGCCAGGACTTCTGAGCTCCAGACAGTGTGGTGCTTTAGGCATGTGTATGACAGAGGCATGGGGCTTAGGACCCCATCATTGCCAAATGGCTCAGTACCCGGGGCACAGAGCTCAGCTTTCCCAGTGGCCCAGGATAGAGGGAGCGGCGGGTCCTTTACCTCTGCTCTCACTGACAGCGTGAGGGAAGATGGGGAGATGTGGGAGCCACAGGGGGCTTCCCCAGTGTGCAGTGGGCCATGCTGGGCTCACATGCCTGTCTGCAAAGACACATCAGGCTTCTGGATAGCTGCCTTGTAGGAACTCTACCGTTTAGTGTATGGCATGATTCAGGGGAGGGGCAGGTTATCTACCTTTCTAAAAGTTCCCAGAGGTGGCTGCTGCTGCTTGGGACCCCATACGAACACCCCCGGATCAAAGGACACTAAGCCACTCTGGCCAATGTTTCTCCATGCTCCCTTAGTCTTTGGTGGGGTCACACATGGAGCACAGTTACAAGCCATGTAAGTAGCAATGCCGGGACACAAAGGCTCAGAGGAAAGTGGCCTTAAGCCTCCTCTGTGCCCAGGCGGCTCCCGGTGGGTGGTGCCACAGCGAGTTGGGGTTCAAGTGCATGGGCAGTTGGACTGGGGAGCTTCCAGTCTACGGGAAGGCTTGAGGAGGTTCCAGTCTCCAGAGTGCTCCCCTGCATCCCTCAGACCCATCTTGAAAACATTGACAACCTTCCATCCTGCTCCCTGCCTTCTCACTGTGTCCACCTGTACGGAGAGTGGCGTCATTTCCCAGTGATGTGGAAGAGGCCAGCCAGCCTTGGGGAGCGCCTGCTCTTCTTGTTGATGTACTGTCCATGGGAGGATGGGGCCAGCTTTCTGTCTTTTCCCCCCTATCTTTCTCTCCTTGCTTCCATCTCTCTCTTCTTTTTTATCTAACTCCACCCTTTCTTTTCTTGTCTTTTTAACTGTCTCTATCTCAGCCAAATCCTTGCTCCTGTTTGGTATGTGACCTTGCTTTGGGGTCTGCAGGAAATACCCAGCGTGATTTGTCTTCAGGTTTTAGATGACTACGAACCCCGGTGTGCTCCAGCCCCCTGCTGGGTTCTGCTTCCTTGGGTAATTCTGGGCACTCGGTTCTGGTGGGCTCCTCTGACCACTGCTGCATAATATTCCACAAGGTCCGCCACTCGCGTTCTTGGCCCCTTTCCCCGGGGAGGCAGCTGAGGCATTGCCAGAGCCCTGGCGCACAGTAGGGTCCTTGTGGCTCCAAGTGAGCACTGCTCTGTGCTGTATCTCCGAGTGGTCAGTGTGAGGGTTTGCATCCCATGTGCCCTAAAGGGATGGCTGCCCTGGCCACGTAGGAGGCTTCCTGGTCTTGTGACACACGGCACTGTGGTACTTTTTAGTCACTGTGACAGTTCTCCCTGTACCCTGTGATTCCTGCTCCTCGTATTTCTCTGGTATAGGAAGTACCAAAGTTTATACCCTGTCACCCTTTCCCATCGCTCCCCTCTCCCCCGCTCTGTATGTTAGGGACAGGACTCATTCATTGATGCTGAGAGGGTACTGAGAGTTACTGCCGGCTGATGTTACTGGTGGGGAGAGGTGGGGGACACACAGAGTCAATGGCTTGCTTCCAGGGCGTGATGAGCGGCTCTCACCGTGAATGCAGAGTGGCGCTGCTTGATGCTGGCACGTGCCAATGAGTGTTACTTCTGCGTGTGGCTCACAGGCACTGGTTCCCCACTTGACCGGCAGAGATGAAGTGGCTTGTCCCAGATCACGTGACTGGGGGGGGGGACAGCCCACGCTCCACGTCTAGGTCTCCTGACTCCAAACCCTGTTGTACTGCAGCCCTACCCTGCCCTTTCCATCCCAGTGGGCATGACAGCGGCACACAGTGGGACTAACCTTGGACCCAGTGCGTGCTCTATTCCATCGCTGGAGCTTTTGAAAACCACTCTTGTCCTGGCCTCTGGCTCCTAGAGTAGGTGCTGAGGGACGGCATTAAGAAAGAGATATTTACCGGGCGGTGGTGGCGCACGCCTTTAATCCCAGCACTCGGGAGGCAGAGCCAGGTGGATCTCTGTGAGTTCGAGGTCAGCCTGGTCTACCAAGTGAGTTCCAGGAAAGGCACAAAGCTGCACAGAGAAACCCTGTCTCGAAAAAACCAAAAAAAAAAAAGAAAAAAAAGAAAAAAAGAAAGAAATATTCCTTCATTCCTTCATTCATTTGTGTGTATGTGTATATGTGTGGGGGCATATGCATGCCATGGCATGTGTGCACAGGTCAGAGGTCAGTTGTGGGAATCAGTTCTCTCCTTCCACCCTATGAGTTTTGGGGACTAAATTCTGGTTGTAAGCTTGGCAGCAAGTGCATTTACTCACTGAGCTCTCTTGCTGGCCCATTCCCCCCCCCCCACACACACACAAGTTCTCCTGTAGCCCAAACTATCCTTGAACTCCTGATCCTCCTGCCTCCAACTGCCGAATGCTGCGATTACAGGCATGTGTCACCACATCCCGTTTGGCGTCAACATTTGTACAACAGCTTTCTCAAGGCGTAATTCACTTACCATGCCATTCCTCTGTGTAATATATGCCGTGAGGGGCTTGTGACGTGCGGTCTGTGTTATGTGGCCTTCACATCCATCTCGGTGGGGGGGGGTTCCCCCACACCGTGGGATGTAGTGACTTGTGGGTGTTTCCCCCCCCCGCCCCCCCCTCCCCCCGGTGAGTACTTACATCATGATGTATAGAGGGGCATTTTTAAAACGGAAGTGTGTGTGTGTGTGTGTGTGTGTGTGTGTGTGTGTGAGAGAGAGAGAGAGAGAGAGAGAGAGAGAGAGAGAG